CACGAATGATAGTAATGCTGGTTTGTTATTTTCAAGAATGACCAGTGTTATGGGGTTTTTCTTATATACAACTAGGTGATGTCACTCCTCACCCACAGCAGGAATGCAGGCAGGTGTACTATCTGGGTGTGAAAAAGTGCAGCGTACTCTCACTGTGGTGGAGCGCTACTCCAGACTTCTTTTTTTCTTCCCTATGATCATGAACTCATTCCTCTTTCAACATGAGCTGTCTGGTGCCTTTCAAAATTGTACAGGGCACACAGCATCATTTAACAGCAAGCATAGATATTCCTGCATGTCCTAGAAAGGTTACGAAAAGGCACAAAAATACCCACTGGAATTCTTCATACCATTATCTTTTCCTTGTTCACACTAGTTTATACCGTTGTTCCTGGCTGCAGCGTGGAAGTCCTTGGCATTGATTATGCATAGAATAGACACTTCTGTACTGTTTGGGTGTGTTTTGTTCTTGGTGGTCTGATAGTGATCCTAAGCACTGCTGGTCAGGGTGAAATGCCAGCAGTACCATCTATGAGCACACCTTTAGGGAGTTAATATGCTGTGGGCAGAAGCTTGATGGAACAGCTGTGCTTCACTCAGCTAGAGAAAAATACAGCAGTTATTTTAAAACTGCTTAGATTCTCTTCTGTAAGGACAGGGTATTCCAGGAAACAACACAAAACTGTAGCTGAATTCAGATATTTATAACTTCAAGCACAATTTAATTGTGCACACTTTGTAGTGTCAATTCAGCGTCCAAATATAGGTCTGTAAGTGTTTTTTGGTTCCAGCAGTGGTATTGAAACATTCAGCCAATTTAAGTTGTTACAAGACATGAATGTATAATGAAACTCATTTTGAGGGCAAGAATCACATATGCCGTCACACAGCATAGAACAGGTCTTAAAGCTTGTAGAAACTTGTTCCTGTTTCCTCCTTTTTGTCAGAGAGATTTGCAAGACTTTTTTTGTCACTTCATGTAAGTATTGCAAGGACAGTGTGGGTAGGAAGTCCTTCTGAATGAAAGGGCTGTGGTGTATCTGATGTACGGTTACATCTGTATCATCCAGCCACTCCGAAGAGAAACTTCAACTGCGGATTAGTTACATTAGAAGGGCCCGGGGACTGTGGCGATCACTTTTATAGGATCTGCTGCCTGTACTGTGATTAGAGATGTGGGTTGTCAGTATCATGGCCCTACATAATTATCTGATTGGAAAGGAGCAGCCTAACAGGCAATAGTAAATCGTATTGGAGTTGCAAGTAAGTGTAGAAAGCAGAGGGTGGGCAAAGGTGTTAAGACAAAAAATAAGCAGAACTGATAGGAGAATTTTTCAGTGCATAGAAATAATCGTGGGCCCAATTGCTATGAGGTTGCTTGAGGGCATTCCACTTAGGTGGAATTATTGTTGCAATTAAACAGTAGTCCTTGGCATTAAGCATCTTCGGCTTTAAATCTCTTCCTTGGAGACAGTCCAGTTAATTGGAATATATGTTATTGCCTAGTTTTGTATTATTTATGCCATTGACTATAATGCAATTAAAAAAGGACTTAAAAATCTGTACAGTGATACCCAAGGAATTTTTTTTGCTGTTCAGCTAGGCTGTTCCTTCTGCTCTAGCTGTTGAGTGAAGCAGATGCAATAATATAGTGATACATATCCAATATGCATACTATTTTTTTGTGCATCCTAGAGAATTTAAATACAAAATATGAATCTGATGCTACACACACTTTTTTTTTTTTTTTTTTTTTTTTCCCCAGTAACACATGGAGGAGTGAGTTAAATTCTTGTTAGAAGTTTTCTTCCACCTGTTTAAAGAGGTGCTGCCTCTTTGGTGGTTTAAAATATGCTTCTTAGGGGCTTAAGAAGCAGTTGCAGTGAAGACTGACCCATGTGAAATGTACATTTTGGGGTAAGAAGGCCCAGACAATTCCCATTGAAATGATGTAATGATGTGTGCTTAGCTATCATCATCCTAAAGTTTTTAACTGCATCTAAGGCTTTGTCAAAATTTCAAAGCATGACAGCTGTCTTGAATGGGGATGAAATTCTGCTCTTAGTTGTTCACTTTGTGGCAATGTAATGGATGCTATACTGTTTTGTTGCATGTAGTATTTCTGTATTTTAACTCTTACTCATGCCTTCACAGCCATCAGCAATGACTTGATTTTCTTACTGTTGTCACTTTGTCTCTAAGCAAAATAAAGGAAACAGTGATAAAAGATCGTAGTTCTTGACCGCATAAGCCATCGTTAATATTAAGGTTTACATAAAGTAGTTTTAGTGACTATCTGAATTTACTCTGTGAAGTACATACACTTTGAGCATACTAGTGTGGTCCAAGAAATCACTGTCTGAAATGATGTACTAAAGTGATTTTGAGCATTGTTGGCACATTGCAATGGGAAGTAGAAGAGGTTGTGTTAAGCCATCACAATAAAATCAGATGCATGAACTAGATTTTTCTGTGTAAGTACAAAAGCAAAAATGTTATCTCACAATGTTTTTTGATGTACTTAGTTGTCATTAACTGTTTTTAAAGTAGTGACAAATGCATTTACTGTAACTACTCAAACCCATCCTGTAGGAAGAGAAATAAAGCATTCATTTGAAAGCATTAAGAATGTAGGCATATGTTTCTAATGATTTTTTTTTTTTTTTTTCCCCAGTAAGTCCTTTTCAATAGTGAAAACTTGAAACATTTTCAGTATGGGTCTTTTTCGTTTTTAAATCTCTGTTTGGTTTTGCTCATTCAGTGTTTAAAAATTCATTCTTAATCCATTAATTTTAGATGATTGTACTTCTGATATGATACTGTGCTGACATTAAGGAACAACAAAGCTTATAAACACTGACTTAGTAGATTTCTTGAAGAAAATACATGTTTGTGAGAAGCAAGTAGCCCAGAGAGTGATGACAGAGGTAAAAGGTACCTACCTCCTGAAGAGGATGAAATCCATCTGCTAACTGATTGTGAAATAAAAGGTGTCAGGAGGAATACATGAATCGAAAAACATGAGGTTTGCAGAGAGCTTATCTCTGGAAGACTGTTCTTCTGAAGAAGTAACAGGGACAACCTATTTCATTTACCTGAGAGAGGAAATGTGCAGGGTCCCATTACAAATGGGTCATGTGGCTAAATCAGGTCTTTGAAAGGAAAATAAAGCTGAAATTCTGTATGAAGTAGGAGAAGCTGACCTGGGTAACTTCACAACCTCATGAAGAAGGGAAGTTTACTACATGGGGCACTCTGTATTAGTTGAGCTGTGCATTTTACTGATTCTGAATACAGCATCTTGATGCAAGGAACAAGTGTATCAAGGCTAGCTCTTAAAGAAGGAAATAGTGTGGGTTATGGCTGAGAGAGTTCTTGGGAAACATAAATTTACATTGTATGTTGAGTGGAATGCAGTCTTAAGTTGAAACAGTATGGTCTTTTCTGTCATTAATCTTATCAGTTTTCTGTAGGTCATTTTTGTCAGCATTGTCATCAATGTTATGACAATACTTCAGATCCTGTTTAAAATAAAAAACAAAAAAATGCTGCCTTGTTATAAGCACTCTGTAATCACAGGAGGTCCCACTTCCAAAAGAAAGTACATAAACAGTGAACAGTGATGACATTATATTTAGCAGAGATTTTTAGGCAAGTTTATAGAGGAAATGACATGGAAGAAAAAGGAGAGTGCAATGGTGGGAGAAGAGAATTACCAGCAAGAAGAGAAGGGGTAGAGTACGGTAACGGTGAGAGATTGAAAGTTGGGGGGGAAGGGACTGAATCAGTAACTAATTAGTCATTTATTTAGTGGGAACATCTAGATTAATACCTCAAGAGTGGTGAGAGTGTTAATGTGGTTTCCAAGTGACATGTTGTAGGTGGTTTTCACAAGCAAACATAGTGTTCATTGTAAATGTATAAGCTGAATTTTTCTTAAAGATCACAGATCTCTTCCTCCACCCACACTGTTCTTACACTTCTTGATTTCATGCTTTCTATTTGCTATAAAATGTATTTATCTTTTCACCAGCAGTTATAAGATTCAAGTTTAGGAGAAAAAAAACACAACTTGATCAGTGGAAGCAAAAGATCATATTCCCTGTAAACCTGGTCATATCAAGTGTAAAACTGTGTTCTCCTACATACAGATTGGAGAACCCCTGTCAGTTGCCTATAAGCATTAAACTTGTCCCTTAAGACCCTGGCTGCTCAACATATGTTGATACAAGAGATGATACACTTCCCTCTCTGAAGTAGGGGGAAAATTACTTAAGTCTAGGCAATCAAACTAAAAAAAAAGTAAAATTGCAAGCCTGGTTTGTGTGCATCCTACTCATCTGTCCTCCCTCTTGATGCAGCCAAGGAACATATCCCACAGCCACCTACAGTACTCACCTCTCTGTGCTCTTGGCATGGCTTGAGAATTCCCTCATCTTCTCCTTGTCTGCCCTTGTCGACCCGTATCTGTCCTTCTAATACTGATTCTAGATCTGCACCCCTCACCTTCTGTGCTAGTATATGCCAAGAAGATGCGTGGGGTGGGAACTATTATGTAATGAGAACATAATGTAATTAGCATCTACAAGGATCTGAATTAAAGAAGTTACAGTGTTAAGATACTGCACTGGAAATATACTGAGTCCTTGAAGCAAAGTTAAACTTGAACGGATAACTCTTGCTGTGGGAATTCCTAACTTGGTTGTTATTGTAAAAGCTCAGCAAATTTGTGAGTAGCTGGTTTACTACTCTGTAAAGTAAAAAGTAATAGCTGAAGCAAATAAGGAGCATGTCAGTTCTGTCCACTGGTCAGTTCTTCCCACTTCACTCATCAACTTGTTGGACATTTTTAATCAATTTTGACAGAATGGGCGAACTCAAACATAAATTGGCCTACTTGCTGGACGAAAAGCTGTGTTGAGAATAGTTTATCTGCCTGGCCTGTTTGTTAGTCAGTCAACATGTGTGCTGATGTTTTTGCCCAACATGCGCAGTTATATCAAAACCTGCAAAAGAAGATGCTGCCTGGCTAGTAAGATCATGTGGGAAGGAAACTGAAAGCAATGTGGAGTCCTGGAAGAGATGAGGAGGGTAGCTGAGAACACTGCAGGGATTCTGGGACCACTGAAACAGGTGTGTATAAGAAAGGGAGAGGCACATCCAGAAGAAATCAGGTTGTGTATTCTGCATCATGTAGGATATATTCTTTAAAACCAACACAGTTAAATACTTAAAAGTTAATATGGTGTTTTCTTAGCATAATGATTATATTCACAGTTTTGTAACAAAGGTTGCAAGCTTGCAGTTTTACCCAAAGAATGAGACATAGGTATCCATAGTGCCTTGTGATCCTTTTTTTTTTTTTTCCTGTCAAACTTAACTGCAGCTCTATGTAGTGCTGCAGTGAACTTCTTGGTGGTCATGTGAATGTGAAAAGCTGTGGGGGTTTGTTAATGATTAAATGGATTTTTTTTTTTTTTCCTGAAGTATTGTTTAGGAAGATCCATACTTTACTATCCAAGCTTGGCATTGCTTCCATAAGGAAATGTGGTTCTGTGATGTGCTCAGGTTCTCTAATACTACCAAGTATTAGTTTTCTTAAATAAAATGTTTAAGCCATCATGTCCCCGTCCCCCCACCTGCCCCCCCAAAAAAACCCAAACCCAAACCAGAACAAACACATGCAGTTGATGGCAATTCTTTAAGTACTTTTGGGCTTTTTGTACAGACTTCTTACGGTTACCTTCTAAAGCTGCTATGTGAACATGCTCGCTTTTTAAAGCTGTAAGGCAAGGGAGGGAATGTTTTACAGCTCATTAAAATATCATTTGTATGTGATGTGGAAACAGGTTCAAAGTCTGACACAACACAACTGCTCTCTCATAGCAGTATTAGAGGGGGGGGAGATGGATCATTTACACCCCTCACTGCCAGTTTTGGCATGATTCTTTTTGCCCGCCCAGCTGATACACTATATTTGGAAATGTGGCTGTGTTGTGTGTTACCAAGCTTATTCATCATTGCTGTCAGCGTACTCTGTCTTTGCAGAATGCTTTCAGGAATTTTCAACAATGTTCACTTGAAAGGAAACATGCATAGTACTTTAAAAAATATTCACCAGAAGACAACCAGAAAAGCAAACTTGCAAAAAAAAAAAAAAACCCCAAAAAAACCCAAACAAAAACCCCAAACCACTTTTCCACTGAAATGTGTATTGCGGCTTCTTCAGATATTTATGAAGTCTGCAGTTCATCTCAGTTCCTAAAGGATTTTGGTTTGTTTTTTCTCTGCGTGTCGTGCAGCTATATTTTATATTGCTTTTTCTGTTGTTATACATCTACGGGCAAACCACCTGTCCTTTCATTGCTGTGTTGAGAAGTGGACTCATACTTCATTTCTTTCTAAATAACAGTTTTAGTCCCTTGCAAAAAAATTTTATTCCAAATTAAACCCCCCTGTTTTTCCAGAAGTTACAAAATCTTTTTGGAATTTCAGGGAATTCAGTGGAATTGAATTCTAACTCTAAAATATGTTTCTTGAACTGTAATTTTATTAATGTAATTTTAATTACAAGAAGTAGTTTAACAAATGAACCCTGCTTTCTCCATATTGGGTCTCATGTTATCATTATCATTATAACTCGTCATTTGCTGGTTAAATACAACAATTGCTCAACTAAACTGTTTTTTGCCAAATGTAAAATTGGATTATATATTGTATGTTAGTTTTTAGAAATTTTGATAAAGTTTCATAACCTGTTTTTATCTAAAATGTACTGTCTGATTTGGTTTTTTTTTTATATGAGGCTGCTCTGCTAAATTAGTATTTGGAATATGTTTGCTGGACAACCATGTATAGCAGCAATTCCTATCAAATTATGGCTTTTACTTAAACAATATATCTATCAGATGCATTAGTTTTTAAATAGTTATATCTGTTTCATGTAGCTGAGCAGTGAATTGAGATAAGTAATGTAGGAAGTGGAGACCTTTTTTTCTGATTGAGAATTAGATAAAAAGTACAGTTTTATTAAGATAGATGATTCCTTAAAAGGAAATATTTCCATAACAAGATATCTCAAGATATCAGTCTGCTGGTCTTGCTTTTTTGTGCAATATAGACTTGATGATGTAATCGTGCATGCAGAATATTTTCCCTGTAGAAATTCTGATGATGAAGAAGCAATAGTTTAGACAAGATACATACATCAAAGAAGAAAGCAAAGATACTTACAGAACTTATCTCCTGTTCATATACTGGTAGCATCCTACTGAAAAAATGCATTTCTGGTTATGTTGCCATCAATCTAATGAGTTGTGTTCACCGACCTTGTTTTTGTTTTTGTTTTTTTTTTTTCCTGTGATATCTTTGCTGCATGTTATCTGAGCAGTAGGACTTGAGAAAGGTCTTGTAGTAGCCTTGAATTTCTTACTTGCATAGAGGAGATTTCCGCTAGAGATTATTATTTTTGCCTCTAAAACAATATTCACCTACCATAGTAATGCAAATGCTTAGCATTCAAATTTTTCTTTCTGTCATATTTGGGAAGCTGAAGTTCACATTCTCTAAAATCAGCTTTATCTTTAGATGTAACTCTTGGCAATGCTTTCACCACAAAAATAGGTTCTCAGTACTAACATGTTTCATATGGGGAAAAATTAAAACTGTAGTCCTAATTGTGTACCATATTCATACAGCTTCATGTGTATCATTGTTCTGAAGCAAAGAAATTACCTCAACAGAGAGAATCCAATAGAAGTGTTAAGCAGGTATTCTTTTATTGGCAGTGCTGGGGTTGACCTGGGGATTCTCCGCCATAAGGGCTCCCAAGAGTTAGCAAGGGACATCAGTTTACATACACACAGATCATAAATATTCATTAGATTTCTAGAAAGGGGTATCTTATGATAATGAGTTCCCAGAATTCATTTGCATAATCTGAGCATGTGTAGTGAAAATAGGATGAGGGTCTTCAGTGGTTGGGGAAGGAAGTAAGTAGTCTTCTTCACAGTGTTGGCTAGTTGACCCTCTCTCCAGAGCGTGTGCTGTGAAGTCCAGGTGTCTCCCTCCTAAGCCAGCAAAATCAGTTTCCCTATAACAGGGTCTCGGTGTCTCTTTGTTAGAGGCCCCCATAGCTCATTCTAGGAGTTGCCCAAGTGTTCACTGAAGGCCTTGAGTCTGCCACCAGTGATTTACGTAGGGAGCCTAATGAGCGCTTCGATCTTACCTAAACGGACTAAGGGACCGAAGGAAACAGTTGGGGAATCAGGAGTCCTTGAGAAAAATGAAGCAAAACACAAGCAAATCTTTGAAGCAAATGAAGCAAAGCACAAGCAAAGCTTTCATACATCACATCACAGTTTAGTTTTAATAATTGTTAGAAATTCATTTATTTGATATCTTTCCATTCCCTTTCAGTTCTGATTGCATCATGGCACTTTTCATGTCTCCATGTATAATATGTGCATGGTTGTCTCTGGGTTTTTTATTCTCATAAAATCTTGATGGAAGTTTCTATCCCAAGCAGATTCTTCTAAATACAATTTAAAAGGAAAAAAACCCAAACCACAGTATTTTGGTAGTTGTGTATACAGAACACTTACTTAGACTACTTTTCCTCAATTTATTGATTGATAAACGTACTTTGCTCTTAGAAATGAGAAACCAAAATCCATCCAAATAATTTCAGTTATTCAACTTAATATTTATGAGCATCTTGATTGATATAAACTCTATGTCATCATAATTTGCAACTTGTAACATGGAATATACTGTGTGAGTGTGTTAACTTTCTGATGATTGCAAAGATGCAGGGAATTGTGCTTAGAGGAAATGTAGAAAACCAATTGTATGAATCAACACAGAACTGCATTGTTCTTGCCCCAAAGATTTAGGACTCTATCTCCAAACTTGCTGTTGGATCCATTACAAACCATCTGACTTGATTTCTCTTAAAAGCAGAAGGATCTAAAATAAATGTAACAGGATGGCCTATGAGAGAAGGGAACACTCAAGTAAATAGGTGATGTACAAATAAAGTCTTTGTGAAGGTTGCCTCCTGTACCAAGAGCCCTGTTTATCTTTTTACAAGTATAAGAGCATTACGGGGGGGGGGGG